TATTCCACATAAACACTTTATATATATATATATTTTGTGTATATATTTATTATTAGATAAAAATATAGTAGAGAAAAATTTGATACAAACGCATTTATAATATAGTGCGGAGCAACAGCAGTTATTAAAAGAGAAGAACAAGTTGACTTTTACTATTAATGATTTACTGGAGGAAGTAAAAGGTGATAATGACAGCAAGAAACGAGCTCAACTAGAATTGGAAAAATTAAAAGCTAATATTACTGAAAGGGAAAATGAATTAAGCGAGCTTAAGCCAAAAGTGAGAAAATATTCAGATATTAAATATATTTAAAACACACACACACACACACATTATGGACATTAAAAAATATGTTTATTATAGTATGATGAAATGAAACGCATCGAGGAAGGGTGTTTACGAGAATTACAATTAAAAGAGCAGAAACGTAAAGAATTATATGCTAAACAAGGTCGTGGCAGTCAATTCACCACTAAGGTAAAAAAATTATAATAAATATATGAAAAATAATAAGAGAAAAAATTCTTAAAAATGTTTTAGTAAAATATTTTAATGGTATTTATTCATCGCAGGATGAAAGAGATAAGTGGATTCAAAACGAGCTTAAACAGCTCACCAAACAGATAAAGGATAAAGAGGAACATCACAAAAAAATTAGCGATGATTTAAAGCGCGATGCCGAGAAACAGATTGCTCTGGAAAAGAAGATAGGAGATCACACACGCGAGATGGAACGACAACGCACATCGATAGACGATCATAATAAACAATATTACGAACTTACTAAATCGAAGGATCAGTGTCAAGCAACTCGAAAAGAACAGTATGTTTATTTAATTAATAATTAATTAATGACAGAGGCTGTTTTAAACATAGCTTAATTAAAAAGACAATTTTTAAAAAACAAATTTCTTAAATTTACAATATAAATGCATCAAATTGCAGATATCGACAAGAGAGTGTACTGCAATTAAATTTATCTGGTCTAAAGGAAGATTTAGCGAAAGCAGATCAGAGTTTAAGATCTATGGCTGGCAAACCTATTTTGAATGGCAGGGACAGTGTACGTAAAGTACTAGACACTTTCCGGTAAGGTTTGTTTTTTTATGATACATATTATACAAAGGTCTTTAAAAAAAAGAAATTCTTAAATGCTTTTTCAATATATTGAAATATATACTTATATATATACTTCAATATATACTTTATCAATATATTGTAATATCATGTATGTATCTACTTAATAATATCTTTGATTCTATAGTACAAGGACAGATATGGCCCAAGAAGTGAGCAGTTACTATGGGCCTGTAATTGAGAACTTCAATTGCGATAAGAGCGTTTATATGGCTGTTGAAGTGACTGCTGGGAACCGATTGTTTCATCACATTGTGGAAACTGATAAATTTGGCACAAAAATCTTAAAAGAAATGAACAATCAACGATTGCCAGGAGAAGTGACTTTTATGCCTCTAAATAGACTTCATGTGAAGGAGATTGATTATCCGCAGACTAGTGATGCTATACCCATGATATCCAAGTTGAATTATGATCCTAAATTTGATAAGGCATTAAGGTAAAAATACATAAAACATAACAATTATTAAATCAAAACTTTTTTTTGTAATGTATACGGATTTTATATATTATTAACATTCTTATTTTTATATATAGATATATATTTGGGAAAACTTTAATCTGCCGTAATTTAGAAGCAGCTACGACTTTGGCACGAGATTCTGGTTTAGATTGTGTTACATTAGAAGGAGATCAAGTTTCATCTAAAGGCTCCTTAACTGGTGGTTATTTCAACACGCTCAGATCACGGCTTGAAATACAGAAAACCAGATCGGAATTAATGTCTCAAATTTCTACTCTCGAGACTCAATTAACGACGCTTAAGGATGAAATTAGAAAAGCTGATCAAAATATCAGTTCTTATGTTAGCGAAATGCAGAAAACTGAAACTAGAAATAGTAAAGCCAAGTAAGTGATTAAAAAAGATATTCTACTATATATAATTAATAAGAACTTGAAATTCTTAATACTTTAAATTTTATTTGAATATCTATATTTAGATCCATATTTAAATATTGGAATAAATGTTAGATTTTTATACATTCTAATTATCGCGATTAAACAGTTTATTTACATAACAGAGATATATATGACAAAATGAAAGCAGAAATACGTATTATGAAGGAAGAGTTGAGCGCGATAGAAAGGTGTCGTACACCTAAAGAAAGAAGCCTTCAACAGTGCAAATCAAGTTTAGAAGCGATGTGTGCGACTAAAGATGGCTTGGAAAGTGAATTACATCAGGAACTTATGGCGCAATTATCCGTCGCTGATCAGCATCAGGTGCGCATAAAAAAAGAATTAAACGTAATTGATCTTTTCGAAAAGATCACATCTCAATCTTCTTTTTTTAATTTTTGATTAAGGTTTTTTTTTTTTTTAATTTGTTATGATACGATTTATAGGTCGATACTTTAAATGACGATATAAGGCGTTTAACGAAGGAGAACAAGGAAGCATTTGCGAAACGAATGCAATTTGAAGCAGAAAAGAATAAATTGGAAAATTTATTAACAAACAATTTAGTGAGAAGAAATGATGAGCTAATTCAAGCTTTACAAGAGATATCGGTTGAAGATCGACAGCGACAACTTGACGCGTCCAAGATCCAGTTGGCGGATATTGAAAAGAGATTAATGAAAGTAAATGAGGACATTAAAGCACAGAATGAAAAAGTTACTGCTGCTATGAAAAAAGTGAGCATTTACAAATATCATACAAAAGTCGCTTGTTATGTTTAAGTGAAATGTTTACAATTTATGCTGTTGTCCGTTTAGCAAAAATCAGAGTCTTCTGAAGTCGAAAAATGGAAATTGAAAGAAAAAGAAGCACAGGAGAAAATAGAAGCTGATGCAAAAGATTTTGAGAAACTAGCGAGCAAGTTAAATATCTTGCAGCAAAAAATAGCAGAGTGTACACAGAAAATTACTGAGCTAGGCGCACTGCCGAGTCAAGAAATTTATAATAAGTTTAATAATATGTCCACAAAACAGCTCTTTAAAGAAATGGAAAAGGCAAACAATCATTTAAAAAAATACAGGTGCTTATTCCTTTTTTATAGTAATTTTATTACAATAAAATGAAAATTATTAAAAAATGTTAATGCTACATAGTTAAATTGAATTAAGAACTATTTCATTTATATATATTTCTTGTTTTCATATTGTTTTCATATTATTTTTATTTGTATATATTTCTTATTTTCATTTCTAGCCACGTAAATAAAAAAGCCTTGGATCAATTCATGTCCTTCAGCGACCAGAAAGAAAGATTAGTAAAACGAAAAGAAGAATTAGATCGAGGTGACGAGAAAATAAAAGAACTCATGTCAGTACTCGAACAGCGCAAGTGCGAGGCGATACAGTTTACATTTAAACAGGTACAGCCGTTTATGTATAATAGTGTGCTTTGTTTAAAGCTTGATTTTTCTTAAAGTATGAAGAATTAATAGTAATATATCTAGTTTGTCATAATAATGCATATATTTTCAAATGTAGTTTCACATATTACATCTTTCTTTTAAGGTGAGCAAATATTTCAGCGAAGTATTCAAAAAGCTTGTACCTTCAGGGCATGCGCAATTAGTCATGAAAACTGCAGATGGCGACGAAGGAGATGATGGAACAGCGGAGCCATCTGATTCTGATAGATTTATTGGCGTTGGTAAGAGAATATATATATATATATATATATAAAATTCAAATATTTTTCTCTTTATAGCATGATGAGAAAAACTTGTTTGAAAATTTGATTACATAAACAAAAATTTATTTTTTAACATTACTTAACTATGTTTCACATTTATGTGATACATATTTGATTTCTTAATGTTAACAACTTTTATGTATTTATTTGTTATTTTAGGTATAAGAGTGTCATTCACGGCACATAGAGGTGAAATGCGAGAGATGAATCAACTGTCTGGTGGACAAAAGTCGCTTGTAGCATTGGCATTGATATTCGCGATTCAAAAATGTGATCCGGCACCGTTTTATTTATTCGATGAAATCGATCAGGCGTTGGATGCACAACATAGAAAGGCGGTAGCAGATATGATTCACGAGCTTAGTTCGGACGCACAGTTCATTACTACAACTTTCAGGTAATGTTCATTGTAATCCATCTTGGTTTTATAAGAGATTTTAAAATTAAAATATTTTAAAATGAAAAATATATGTTTCACAGACCGGAATTGCTGCATCATGCGAATAAATTTTATGGGGTAAAGTTCAGAAATAAAGTTTCGCATGTCGAATGCGTGACGCAGGAAGAAGCCGCCGATTTCGTCGAGGACGATACAACACACGGTTGAAATACAGAAATATCTTATTTAGAAAATGTTTATAATGCAGATAACTTTTTTTTTTTTATATAGATCATGATTTTTTTATAAAACTGATATATGAGATAACACACATAAAGAAAAAGAAGGAAAACACTTTTTCTTTTTTTTTTTTTTTTTTTTTTTTTATATTCAATATATATTTATTTGCATTCTGTGCATATTATAGCATATAATATGCAAAGGAATGATATAATTAATAATAAAAGAAAGATTTAAAGTGTGTCAGTACTTGTATTATGTTACAAATTACTTATCAAATTAAATAATTAACTATATATGTAAAATGTAGCATAAATTTTGATACATTTGATTTTCAAAAGAATATGAATATAAGAATAAAAATTTATAACAATATGATTTAAATTTTTGATATATGTGCAAAGTTATTTTTTATATTATAAACTTTAAGATAAAAACTAAGTGAGATGAGAGAAAATGTAATAATAATGAATTTGTGACAAAAAAATCTTTGAATTACTATTTCATTATTCAGAACAGTTTTTAAAATAAATATAGAAAAGTTAATGAAATAATAAGAGGACAATAAATGTTCTAAAGTAAAAGAGAGGAATTTGGTTTAAAAAGAAGTTTATTTATTTGAAGCATTCTTCTCTTGTATTATTTGTTGCTTTAATCATACTTCGCATTCATCATATTATATTATATAATTAATTTTAGTATTAAAAACTAAGTAACCTTAATAAAATAAATGTTAGCGGATGCATCATATACAGAAATAATTTCATTTTACTATTTTAAAGGATTAATATGTTTTTTATAGTGAATTGGGTTTGATGCGCCTAGTGCACTCCTCGTGCGCATTTGGTGCATCCAACCATTCGCTATTAGTTTTAGATTGATTTTTGTACCTAAAATATAATAACACTATTGCAGTAGTGATATTCATGGCTCAGCCGTTGGATTATGCAAGTTTTTTATAAGTAAATATTACATATTAAGAATTCACACAGCTCCACAATTACACTATTTTTTATTTGCACGAAGAGCTTCATGTATGTGTATATATTGGTATACATATGACCACTGTAATAAGTCTCGTAAAACAAAAATCATCGATGACACTAAAGGCCACTGTATTTGCCCGAGAGGATCATGTGTATAACATAACTTCTGTTATGAATGGCATTTTGAACACAGATTTCAAGAGCAAGATGATAAGTATCCCAATGGCTAATGTATCTGCAATATATGAATGCGAATTTTCTTAATATTAAAGGAACATGATAATAAAGTGTTATTTATTTATTTTTTTATTACAATTATGTATATATTCAATTTCTTACATCTTCAATGAATAGCTATGAGACCAGATTCCAAAAGTTTTTGTAACTTTGCAGCTATATCAGGATTCTTCAAGTGACTATAAAAAGGAAAAAGATTTTATCAATATTTATGTTATATGAGAAAAAAAAAGAAATTAATTAATTATTTTGGAAAGAACATTACTGTATAATGTTTTATCTCTCTTGATTTATAGAAAACATTTAATAATATCAATATAAATCTAATAAAAACGTCTCATTCATCTTAGATAAAAATTAATGTTAAATTAATCTATTTTTAATTTAAGAAATAAAATTCTTTCCAAAACGATTAGACGATAAACGAAACAATATCTAAATCGATATATTACTTACTCTTGTAAAGCTCTTGGATCGCTTTGCATTTGTTCTAAGATCAACCTCATAGCCGGATCTCGCAATATACTTTGAACTTCCGGATCCGCCATCGCTCTCTTTCTAACTTCTTCTGGATTAGAACTAGCGGACACGGCGCAAGAGCGATAGCCATCCAACGCTTCGCTGTTTTGTGGATCCAATTCCAAAGCCTTCTGATATGCCGTCAGAGCTTTTCCCTGCTGCTGCATGGCCTGCAGAATTTTTCCTTTTCTAATCCAACCCTTGATGAACTTTGGATCCAGCTCAACGACCTTCTCGCAATCCTTCAAGCCGAGATCAAATGCCGCCAATTTGGTATAACAGGCCGCTCTGTTACTATAATATTTGGGATCGTCCGGATTCCTTCGGACCGCCTCGGAATAATGCTTTATAGCTGCAGGGTAGTCACCGTCTTTGTACTTTTGATTACCGAGTTCCTTCTCCTCTTCTGCTTTGACTGGGTCGATATAAGCCTTTCTCTCTTCCTCCTTGATTATTTTATCTATATCTGACAGTAAAGTCTTAATTTCCGGAGTTCTATGTTCGGACATGGACTTTTCATAATATACTTTGGCCTGCTTCCAATTTTCCATTTTTTTGTAAGCGTGACCGATTCTTGTGAACGCTTTAGCTATTAATTTGAAATCCGCTCTATTTTCCCTACCAACTTCGATAGCTTTCTCACATTGAGCAATACATTTCTGATACTCTTTCTGTTCAAAGTACACTGCCGCTATATTCAGTAGATAAATAATCTCTGTCGGGTCTAACTCCACAGCTTTATTATAATGTTGTAAAGCCTCCTCGAAACTTTTCTTCTTGTAAGCCTCGTTACCCAGCTTCTTTTCCTCTAAAGCTTGACTCTTCTCAGGTGAAAGATTGTCCTCCTCCTTCTTCTTCTCGGGCTTGGGTTCTGGTTTGGGTTTTGGTGGTTGCGGCGGATTCATCGGCTCGGTTTCCATCGGTTCCTCCATATCAGAGCTCATGCCTAAAAGTACACTAAGAGTGGTAAGCACTCTGTTGTCTTGGAGCTTAGTACCGAGACTCTGTGGATCGTTTTGTAATTCTTGCAATATCCTTAAATAATCACGATCGTACAGAAACTTTTTTGTTCTGGGATCACTCGCTAGTTTTACAAAAACATCGGGAGCATTGAAAGGATTGGCTGCAGTGGCTGTTTTCTGAGCTCTCACTTCGGCGAGACTGCTCTTGAGCTGTTCATTGTTGGGATCCAACTGTAGACCTTTCTCGTAAGTCTTGATAGATTCCTCGTACCTGCCCAGATAGGCAAGAGCGCTACCCTTGCGTGAGTAACCCTTTCCCCAATCCGACTTCAAACTAACAGTCTTCTCCGCATCTTCCAACGCCTGCTGATATTTTCCAGACTTCGCGTACGCCGCTGAGCGATTGCTATAGAGAACATGATTATTGCCGTCCAGGGCGATGGCGTCTGTGTAATATTTGACGGCTTCATCGAACTTGCCCTCTTGTAAAGCAGCATTCCCGCTCTCCTTCAAAAGAACTACCTGCAAAAAAAGATACGTTTTAACGATCTACAATTGGGGTCAAATATATTTGGTAAATATTATCAAAAAAAATGTAGAATTTCTTTGATCGATTTACGAATAACAATATATGAGGGGTTAGTTTACAATTGTCGACATTTATTTTTAATTTAGCCTTATCTTAATCTTCTTAATCATTTTTCTATTATGGCTTAATTCGACGAGAGATATAAATAAACAAAATAGCGGTGGTGGGAAAAGAAGATCAAGATGATTATCGGAAAAAAGGGAATAAATTATAGTCTTTGAAGGTTCTGGAAAAGCGTCCTCGACGTGCATCTCTCGCTATTCGATCGCGCGTAAATTCACAGCTCATTCGCGTTTACCTTATCACTCATCGTGCACGACAGGAATGCAACGTTTCCGCTATCTCGTCTCCTCGTGCGAAAAATACGTTTGGACACGATGACTCGTGCGAATCCTCGTGAATCGTCTCTCTCGTGTTATACGTTATACACACTCGCGTGTGCCGGCGCTGATCTCTGATCTCAGAAAGCTCCAGAAGTGAACTAGTAGCGGTCTCTCACGGTTTACCGCGCAACTAACGTTCGCGCGTAACCACTGACCTCTGAAATATACTATTGGTGTGTGTGTGTGTGTGTGTTGGGTGTGCATGCAATTATTATGCAAGTTCTAGCATATTCGAGAGAATGACATTCAGTGCATAAATTTTTTCTTAAACTAAACTTCAAGGAGACAAATAGACTCTTATTTATTTTTCGTATAACATTTTTCGATATGTGTCTCTTTTATTATAAATACTTTAACGCGATACCTCTCTCTTCCGCGTGATAAACTGTCAAATAAAATGATGCCACGTTTAATACATTGTATGGAACAAACTATGACACATATGAAATTAACAGGATTAATCTGAGAAATATATCACGTTAAAAAAAATTTTTTTTACGTATTATGTAATATTCTACTCTTATATACGGAAGTAAAATATTTATAATACATTTTTCATTTTCTCTAATAATATTAAAGTAATGCAGATAGATCCCCTGATATCATTGCATATATATAATATATATATATATATATATATATTTTGTATCTGATTGCGATACTCGATATATACGATATATATATCCGATACCCGATATGTATATATATACATAAAAATGCCAGTCAATGTTATTATTGTATAATAAATAATAATTAATAAAAATAACTGCGCGCGCGCGCGAGCGTGTATGTGTGTGTGTATAAAATGTAACGGTTGCGTCCGATGATATCCGATGTGTATTTTGATTGCGTGTCCTAACAATAATAACTGACAATTAACTTTTTAGCGACTTAAAATACTCAATATTTTGTAATATAAATTTAAGTTGAATATTTTCTGTCTTCTTGAGTTTCAAATTAATTTCGATAATTGAGCCAACATCGGATATAAAAAAAATCTAGTGTTTATTTATAAAATATAATTTAATTTTAGTTTGATCAAGAAATTATTTCTGTAAATTAATTTTAAAAAATTATTTCTCTAAATTAATTTAATATTATTATTTTTACACCAAATTTTTATATTTCAAGAGGATATTTTTTTATTATATTAATTTTTTTTTATAAATATTTGGAATTTTTTAATTTCCATTTATTAAATAATTATAGGGTAAGGGAATAAATGATGGCGCGTACGTATAGTATAATATTCTAATGTAATATTCTAGTATATATAAAAGTCAGATTATACATATATATCACTCTATTTATTCTTACAAGAAGAGGAGAGGAAATACACAATAACTTACAACAATATTTTAACTCAGTACATATATACAAATTCATGTCGATAGGAATGAATAGTGATTGAAGTATTTGTAAATACTTTCCTTCAATTTGTATAAGCGTTCCGGAGAAGAAAAAAAATTTCGTTTATAATCAAATATAAATATATATAATTATACATATTTATATTTGATTATACACAGATTTCTTTTTCCTGGAAGTGATTGCGCGTTTATATTATATATTTATAACATACAAAATCGTGTCATATGTACACACGCGTGAGTATTTAACAAAACAATCAAACAGTCTTACGCTGTAACAAGCGAAAATATTAAAATTCTATCTCAAGTCGTTCTTCGAGCAAAGACATATCAAATATAGTATAATATTTCGGTCAATCGAAATATGAATATAATTTAATAATCGGCTAAAAAGATTTAAATTATCGAAATCAATCTAATAATTTAGTTTGAAATCTTTTACATTATATCCGTTATACATAATGCGATAAAAATCCGTTCAATTAAATTATAATGTTAATTGCAAAAACGCATTATCTATTCAACAAAAATCGAAAGTGACAACAACGTTAATGATCATCACAAACTTCACAATTTTTCTCCGCTGAGATTGAGTACATTGTAATACGAGTGATCTGGAAACCTATCGAGCTCGATATAGTCCGTTTCGTCGAGCAGTAAACCTTCGGTCAGGCTAACAAGTTCGGCAAAGGACGGCCTGCACGCCGGATCTTTGTCCCAGCAATAATACATGATATTATAGAGCTCTCTTTTACAGTGCTCAGGCCTGTCCAATCTGTAGCCCTCTTTAATCCTTCGCATTACCTGCAAAAATACAAGTATTTCGATGTAAAACAAATACATGGTTTGTCGTGATTTTTTAAGTTAATTTATAATATTTTTTATTTTTTTAAATTATTAATATTTTTTAATTAATTAAATTTATATTTTTCTTTCTGGTTATATGTTAACCTCAATTAAATTGTTCCATGTTTTCTATCATTTCAGTCAATTTAATTTTTTAAATTTTATAAATGTGTATTTTTCAGTTAATCTTGATTTTTAATTCAATCTACTAGAACTGCGCTTGAAAATTTTATCTAAAAAAACCTCTTGTGAGGTATTTTATAAATATTCTTACTTCCGCGGCGGCTAGTCCGGGATATGGTGTCGATCCCAAGGTCACGATTTCCCAGATCAACACACCGAAGCTCCAGATGTCTGACTTGACGGAGAATATATTGTCGTACAGACTCTCGGGTGCCATCCACCTGATCGGAAGTCTACCCTCGGATTTTCTCTCGTAAATCTGATTGGCCGCCACATCTCTGGCAAAGCCAAAATCCGCTACCTTGCACGCGCGATTCTCGTCGATCAGGATGTTTCTGGCGGCCAAGTCCCTGTGAATGATGCCTTTCGACGCTAGATACTCCATACCTTTGGCGATCTGTGCAGATAAATGGCAATTGATCGAAAAGTTCAGTTGCTTACAAACTCGGAATACTGGACTTCCAATCCTTTTACCTGATACACAAATCCAGTAAGATCCCTGGAGGTCAATCCTGCGCCTCCATGATTCCTTTCTTCCCTGGAGGCTCTGAGGAAACTCTGCAGCTTGCCGCCACTTACGTACTCCAAGATGACGAACATGGGTTCGCGCTCGGTGCAGCATCCCAGGAGCCGCACCACGTTGGGATGAGGATCTAGGTTCTTCATGACCCGCAATTCCTGCGCGAGGTCCAGCCGTTCTCGTTCGGTAGCATTCTCCTTTAGAGTCTTCACAGCTACAATCGTGGCGCCGGACTTGCCGTCGATGTCTAGAGCCTCGCATTTCCACACTTGGCCGAAGCAACCCTCGCCAAGGATGTTGAAGACCTGGGAATGATTAATTAATCAATTAACAAAGAATAAGATAAAGAAATGACTATTTAATTTAATTTAATCAAGTTATTACTCTGAACTAATCAGAGCTTATTTATCTGATACATTAATGTATTTAATTAGCCAGTTGATTGTTCTATTTGGGAGTTTAATAACATATCCAAGAATTAATTATTGATTGCGAGAATCAACGAATGCGGCAATCATTACCTTCAATCTATGCCTCGGAAACTCCCACTTATCCTCCTGTTTGCTCTGAATGCCTGCTTGAGACTCCTTCTCCCATGGCTGGTAACGATTGCTGCGAGCCTTTGGACCTCGCCACCTCTTCAGAATGAGAGAAGGATCGTCGGATAGATTAGAGACGCTGACTGACGCCTGTTCTTTCTGAAAATCGTCGAACACTGTTTCAAGCATCTCAACAGGTCATTAAAAATCCTAATTAAATACAGTTTGCATATGAAGATTGTTAGCAGATTTCAAGAAAATTATTTCTTCTTCTTTTTTTTCACATTTATCTTCTTGTTTCTGGATAAATTCTATTTTGCGTACCGTGTCCGCCTTGGATTTGCGACTGATGCAAAATCTGTTCCTCAGCGACCAGGCGCCCATGCCAAGGCCCACGACAAGAGCGCATCCGGCTACCACCGGTACCAGAGTCATCGCCATATCCTGGGAGGGTGGCGCGGTGGAGGGTGCGACTTTCGAGCTCAATGCAGGACCTTCCACCTCGTTCACCTGGACGTTCTCCTCCGTGATGGTGCCATCAGTACTGCCGCTGACGTTGTTGTCGTTCTCCTTGGATTTTGTCTTCTCCAATTCGAGTTTCGTGGTTTCAGGATGATACTGCTTCGGCGGCAAAGGAGGCAAAGGTGAGGGGAAGCTTGGTAGATTTGGTAAACTGAGGAAGGGCGGTCGTATCCGGCCGCCGGAACCGTGCTGATTCGGAAATGGTGTCCTGTTAAAAATAAAACGGAAAGAATTCTTTTGAGATTAAATATAGTAAATTTTTGATTAAAAAAAATACTAAATAAAATAAAGTTTTAATTTTCAACAGTAACATAATTCGTCAATTGTACGAAATTAGCATTCTGACGTTTTACTTAAGAAACTGATTTTTTTGTAATATAAATATTTTTCTATACACTTTGCAATTTTTGTTCGATCCGTCCCTGATATCGTTAAGCAAGTGGAGCATGAATAATGGAACGAATCACGGTTGGGTCCCCTTAAGGTCGCGTGTTGTTCCTTGCCGTTTACGAGAAAAATGCCATTTTGTAAACGCTCAATTTAATAAAATTTTTATTGAGATATCGATTGCTATATCTTACACGAGTATAAATTAATTACGAATTTATAGAAAAGACAATAATTTTTTAAGTGAGATAACGAACTTGTATCAAATTAGAATAATTGAATTAATTATATATAATACATTTTATTTTATTGTTAAGAATACTTTCTTAATATTTAAATTTTTGTCGAGAAAAAAATTCCAAATTAATAAATGTAGATTGCGAAATTTAATAAACATTCTGAATATATGTCACGGAAAGTTGAAATTCGAAGTGACGTACTTTATAAATTAAAAATACGGCATGATCAAAACGCCATTTTATCAAACCTCGTTTTATAATTATTCATCGATATACATAAATTTAAAAAAATGGCTATCATACAACTGTGAAAAATATGAAATATTATATATATATATATATATATATATATTTATTTATTTCTTTTTATAATTATACATGTTTAAAAAATTGAAATTTTTCTACGAATTTAATTTCTAAGATTGATGCACATTTTAATCGATAATTCCGAAAATTTTTTACACGTTCATGTTTTCCAAAAGTCGGCGTTTAAATACGTCAGATCTTTTTTTATTTTTTAATATGGATGTACAAAAGCGACCGAAAACGCCATAGTGTATGTGTGCGCGAGCACGCACCTTGTCTTTCCCCGATTCGGTGCCGATGCGTTCTTGATGTTGACGTAAACCTCGGTCTTTGCCGTGAGCTGACCGTCGGAAACGGTCACGTAGAGGAACAGGTTCTGGCCTCCCTGGAAAGAGAAGAATGAGTAAGAAGCATAATTCAAGTGCCTCGATATCCGAGCATTCGCGAACACCGTATATGTAGACAAGCCGTGCTTTCAATCAATATCGAAGATACATTGCGTTCTTTTTAATTTAAATAATTTTTTCAATAAATATTTTTTATTATTTATATATACATTATATATATTTAGAATATATATATATATTTTTTTTTTTAATTAGTCAGGTATATTTCTCTAACATTACGTTATCTAAAAATATATTACTCTCATTTAATATTTTCCTATCAAAATTATTTATTTTAAATATCCGAGACTTTTTTTTTGGAAAATGTGTACTAAAATTTCAATACAAAATACAATTTTTATAATATCGAAAGTACTCTCACCCTTCCTTTGAGAGTCTCGTTGAGAAAGACGGTACCGGTGCTGTTGTCGATGAAGAAGGGCAACGGCGGCTGCGGGCTGTCGTCCCCATTATAATTGTGCCCGAGCGGTTCCAGACCGTAGGTCAGCGTGTCCTGCTCGTTGTCCTCGGCGCGGACCCTGGTCACGATGCTTCCTACGGGTTCGTTGTCCGGAAGCACCCAGTTCCGATCCAGCCACATTATGGGCGGTGTATTGTCGCTGAACTGACTCTCTACGAGCGTAAAATATAATTGGTTATTATAACGGTCTGCAATTTTAAAATTTGGGACTCTAATATTATTAATATTTTATAGGCTTAGAACTTTGGAGAGTTTCGAAATTTTGGATTTATCGAAAACTTTAGAACTTGACACCTAAATATTAAAAAAAAATATATAATTAAGATTATAATATTCTTTTATATCTGTATATTTAATCATATTTAATCTTCTTCTTTTTTTCTCTCTTCTTGCTGTCTTAAGTTCTGAAAGGTTTCTCTTCAATTTAAATAATTACAAGAACATTTTTTAAATCATTTAAATTTTTAAAATAATTACGATAATCGCGGTTCCCGACTGAGATGTTAAATTAGAATTAAATAGAATAGATTGAGAAAAGAAATATAAAAAAACCGTTTCTTTTCTAACAGAAAAAAAACATGTTTTTTCATCAAAAATTGTAGAGCAGACGTGGAAAAAAGTGTTTGTTTACATTTACGGAATAGATACACGGTCATAGATATTTTATCAATAATATGTCTCATCTATTTCTCGCAGTTCGTTAACAGTTTTCAACATGCAACTACATGAATTTGTGAGTTTTGTCTTGAAAAATATTATTTACTGAATGCGTGGGCGGGGGGCGTGCCTCTTCCCCTGCACCTCCATTCCGAAAAAATCTAACCTAACCCAACTCAACTTTACTTTTAAAACTGAAAATAAATTTGAGTTAGATTAGAATTTTTTCGGGGTGAGGGTGCAAAGGGAGGGACTCCGCCTCTCCTCTGCCCACGCGTAAATGTCATAAACAGTTTTTTTCAATGAAAAAATAACAAATTATGCAGTATACACATACTTTAATGTCAAATTTAAATTTGTTATATCTTCTAAATCAATGTCGTCCCCCACTTACTTAGAAGAACCTCCCCTACAACATATTTAAGTGGCGATAAAATCGGAGGTGTGTTACCTTTTATGCATTTTTACCTTTATTTTTTTTCGAAAGTAATTTTAATAGATTAATGAGACTTTTGCGGCAAATTACATCAAACTGGACATAAATCGGATAATTTTCAATTATTACCTAACCTAACCTAACGATATTATATAGCCAATTGGAATGCAAGCTACATTTAAAATAATAATGGTTAATTCAAATTTGTCATCTAAAAAGTTAAAAATAATGAAAAATCAATTTGCAGTAATCAAAATATTAAAATATTAAATAACTGAAAAAAAAGATGTTTTTTGAAAAGGAACGAGGCTTGCTGTTTTTTTTTTTCTATTTACATCTTTAATTGAGAGATATTCAGTTCGTCGGTAATCAAATGGCCCCTCCGTCACGGAAGGTTGACAACGCGACTGAAATCCCGTTCAAATCGACTTCTATTCCTCGGAAGTGCGTTTCGAGCGCGAACGCGGCGGCGAGAGCTCGCTCCTTTACACGCCCGAGTTCTAATTAGCCGCGGGTTTACCGAACGATAATGAGAGAGAGCAGCGGGTGGAAATGCGCGCGCACCAAGAGATCGGCCTTGATATGCATTCCTTCCTGGATTTCGAGTTCATATCGTCAAGTAGACTGTGACCCTCCGTGAGATTTCGTATTCTGCGCATTTTCGGCTATATGCCTACACATATACGTATAAATCATTTCCTCGAGAGATCGTTCGCATATTATATATTTTCCCCCTCCCAAAAATTAATCATATCACTTTAAAATGTAATCTAGGAAAGGAGAATTCAAGAGGAATTTGAGGGATTTCAAAATGTCTTAAGTACTATTTTATAAAGCACAGTTGTGTGTGAGAGAAGCGAATAACTGGATCTTTTGACGTTTCACAGCTGACCGCGCATCCCCGACGAATAATCGTCATGCGCGAGATTTCGCGGTAATTACCATACCAACGATCTTTTTCTCATTAGGAATGATCAAACCGGCGAGTTATTCTCGGAGTAGAAAGTCCCGAGGTGAAGAGCGTTATGATACCGGACGGTCGATCTGATATGGCGCGAAAGGCGCGCATATAGTATACTAGAAATAGAAAGTGCATCGTGCTAACAATAACGCGCTCGCAATTCGTTCAAAATTCAGCTCTACTTCGGATTCGCGGATCGAAATACAATACGGATTCTCTTGAAGCAACAATTAACGGAATTTAATTTCACTCCGAGAGTTTTCTTTTCTTGCATGCCCCTTGCTTTCTTCTTTCGTGAAATATGATTAGCATCTGTAATTTTGTCTGTGCCATTACGCTAATCCTTCAGAATAAATTTTACTTAACAATCTTACTTAATATAAAGAATAAAATAAACTTTTGATTTATAAAATTATTCGAAAAAATTTATGAGAGAAAACTTTAGAATAGAATTTTTTTTGAAAGCTACATTTAAAAAAATGTACTAAATCCCCAAAAAATGGTTTTAATCTAAAAAAATTATTTATTTAAATACTTGCAAAGAAATTAGTTGTTTTAATCAAGCAGCAAATATATTTGTATTAGTAAAATATATAAAATAAAAGCGCAAAGTATGCTATTTACAAATAAAAAAAGATTTGTTTTTATCTTGATTATATAAAATTACTTCCTTTAAAAAAATATTTTTTTGTAAAAACACAGGTTTCCTTTATTTTAATAAATAATTTTTTATTCTCAAATATAAATATTTTTTTTATATTGGGATTTTAAATAATGTATTTTAAAAATTAAAGTTTTTATTATACGCAACTAATAATTTATTTAATATAACAAAACATTTTTGGAACAAAGTATATATTTATTTAAGTAAAAAAAAAAAAAAATCAAAATTAACAAAATATATTTATTTGATTGAAAAAAATTTTACTTTTAGTATAAAGATTAAAAAAGGTTCGGAACTCATCGTAAGAAGCTAGCTGTTGCATAGACTACAATTCTCTTCGTCTCTCCTCGCGATGCATCCCACGCTTCGTAATGTGGGAAGAAAAGGGATTACAATTAAATGACTGTTTTCGATTTAATAACCGTTCTCAAGTCAACGAGCTTCTGTCGGGCAGGCACGACGAAGTGTTTTCGCGACGTAAGCGTGACGATCTTCATAATAGCACGGCTTCACTTCGCGCTCTTCTCACCCTTTACCCGCCGCCGTAATCGTAGCGATTATTCATGAGAATATAGCGCACCACAGTAACTGTATTCTCACGGTGCAGTGACTTCGATACCGCTATAACGCGTTTGAGATGAACGACGGGTGAACATTGTAATGCGTATTTGTATCAATGTCAATCGCATCACAATCGGATAAAAAATAAAAATTCCTCACCGATCGCTCGCGAATAAGTATGTACAATATTAACAAGATGACGTGGAATAGTACCGTAAACCGCGATCACATTGTCGCAGGATGACTAATTTCTTGGTTACACACACACCTACAGTGTTACTTCTTTTCCTTTATTTAATCGAATATCCAGCATGCAATGCTAAGAGAGATTGCAATTTATAACGGAAATGCTACGATAGATAAGAGATTGTAATTAATAAACTTAATAATAATTAGCAGATCTTGCAAAATTTTCTTTATTTTTTAATCATGAATTTATAATAATGAATTATCTCTTCTAACAAATTTGAAATCGATTTTTATATTGATATAAGATCATTTATCTCGTTCAATTTATTTTAAATGAGTTTTGCTTTGATAGAATTTGCATATCTCCATAAATTTTATTTTGATAGAATTTGCAATTCATTAGCAAATCTCGCCAAATTTTCTCTACTTTTTCAATGATGAAAATCTCTTCTGACAAATTTGGAATCGATTTTTATATTAATAATAAGATCACTTATTTTATTCAATTTATTTTAAATAGACGTCACTTTGATAGAATTTGCAAATCTCTATAAATTTTATTTTGATAGAATTTACAATTTATTAGCAAATCTCGTCAAATTTTTTTAATTTTTTTAATAATGAATATCTCTTTTGATAAATTTGGAATCAATTTTTATATCGATAATAAGATCACCAATTGTTCAATTCATATTAAATAAACGTTACTTTAATAGAATTTTAATTTATTAAGACTTAGAATAGATTTAAACATTATAAAAAATTGCGATATATAAAAATAATTTCCCGCAATATTTTTGACATGGAAAAATTGGCACTGCAAAATATTCAGAGAATACATGATTAAAATTATGATGTCGAGTTGTGATGAGAAAAAGAGAGAGGAAGGATATTTAATTATATATAATTCTATATAATCGTAAAAAATGTATTCTATATAATAATGAAAATTATGGGAGATTATATAAAGGGCACTCTCCAATGCGAGTGAGCGCTGATGTTCGCCGATCGTAATTACGATTGGGACTTTCCCAAATCGACCCAATAGCAGGTTTCCCTTCGGGTCGTTATCCTCCGGATGCGGTGACGCGTCTAAGACGGATGTGGTTCCCGAACTTTCTCGGGAAGCGTTCCGTTCGCGCGTTTTCTACTTTTAACGTCGTGACGATCGACGAGGACGACGCGACGTGGACGAAGGTGCCGTGGGGGTTGCGAAAGATTCCCCTGGCGAGGAGAAGTATACGAAGAGTGCGGTCAGTCCGGCGATGCGAACAACACGGAGAAAGTGGGACGATGAAAGTGTGATCGAACACGGCTCAGCATCGTCTGTCTGTCTGTGTGTCTTTTCGCGTAAATATATATATGTATTTTTTTCGAGAGAAGAATCGAAGTCCTTTTCACCGATATCGTATCGAATGATAAGCGACGCGTGTATCCGTTAGGATTGTCGGTATCTTGAATGATGGAGAAGTCGTTCGCTTGTGTGTGGATCCATGCGATTTTCATGCATTCAAATCATTGACATTGATAGTGTTGGTGGTACCCCGTCAACTCGCGACTACTGTTATTCCATCAATATTGACGTATAACACATTAACTCAATATTGACAGATAACGTTAACGGAATACCAATACGCCTCGTTGACGTAAACCATACACTGTCTCTTGGACATTGAAATCTTGC